GATGGTCAAAATAGCGTGAAGTGAAAATCGAGGCATTCCTGTGGTAGAATAAATTTGATCTACCACCTGAAACAGCTTAGAAACGATTTGGAAGGTCGAAATAGCATGTGGTCAAAAGCGAGGCATTTTCTTGGTAGATCAAATTTGATCTACCTTAGTCTACCACATAAAACGGCCGAGAAATGTGTGTTCTATTGAGTTGGATGGTCCAAATCGTGAGCTGTAAACGAGGCATTGCCCTGGTAGATCGCATTTGCAGTGGGTGGTGCGTTGCATGGTTGAAGTATGCGCGCGCAGATGGTTTGGTTTTGATTCGTGTTCAAATGTTTAAATTTGGGTTCCTCGCGGTCTTGCGCTTTCTCCAGTAATATAACTCCTTTAGTAAGCCTGCCTTGGCGACATCCAGTTCCACTCAAATTTATGGCTTGACATGCCCATCTTTCCCAGTCACTGCTGTTTTTTTTTGAACGCTGCCAATTCTTCAAATGTTCCGACCTTTGAGAGGGAGCAGTAGTCCACGAAGGAGGGACGCTCTACTCCCCGCTTACACAAACAGTATTATAGCAAGGGATTGCCTACATGGGACTTACTAATGTATCCGCAACTGAACGGTGTTTTCCACATTAAATTTTTCGCACGAAACTACTGCATCTCAGTTGTTACATGAGTGTAAGCAACCTTCTTAGATTTGAACGCAGCCATTTGCTGTTGACCATCATAAAATAGTTATCAGTCGGCAATTTTTTTGAAGCCGATGTGTTTTAGTTTTTTGCTGATTATAGATATCCACAGCAGTGCTTTGCCTTACCCAAGTTCACAGAAATCTATCATTGGTAGTTTTCTTCTTATCATGTCAGCATGGAACCACTCCGAAGATATTTTCCAGTTTGGCTACATGAACCTGCCTTTGAAGTAAAAGTGTTAGCAATCAAACCTGCTTCTATTTTTTCCCTTTGCATTAGTTGGAAAAGCTCTCTATCCGGTGAAGTGGGTAGTGAAACCCTAAATTCTTCTTTATGTTTCTGAAGATATGCTGAAGTATTACATGTGAATACATTGTATTTCTAAAATATTGTCTGCTCAAAAGACGGCAGTTGCAAAATTTGGGTCTAGCTATCTGATGACTTGTTTGCGATGACAACTACGGGGGCCTTTTACATGCAGTGAAGACCAATCTTTAGGTGTGTGTAGGTCATCTTACTTCATGATAAACATGTGGAACTTTCTCCTTGAGTTAATTTTAAAGTAAGGTGGGAGTCCTAAAATAAAGTTAGCCTAAAATCTCTAAAACTTTTAAGTTCGAAAAACGCTCAAAAGTGTGCAAAAAATATGTTTCTTTTTTGCGGATATTGCATGCTGAATATCAAGTTTACATTTCAAACTGGACTCAAAATTTGACATGTCTCTGAGACTTTGAAGTTTTTTGAAACAAGAAGGACCAATTTTTGGTGTGGTTAAATAACAGGAATCAACTTTTTACTGTGAACACCAGGTAGCAAAAATTATCTTTATTTAAATCACTCACAACTAGCGTAAAATACACAATGAGGCTGTGGTAGTTAGCAAATATATACAACAGTTGGAGGAAAGAACTATTTGGTACTAAGGATATCCACCACCACCTCCTCCTCTGATCGTATAGACGCCACCTCCACCACCTCCACCATCAACAGGTACTGGAGCGTAACCGCCGCCACCTCCTCCAGTGACAGCATAGACGCCACCTCCACTGACAGGTATTGGAGCTCCCAAACCGCCTCCTCCTAATCCTCCTCCACCTCCTCCTCCCCCTCCACCGATCGCATAAGCGCCACCTCCGCCTCCGCCAATGGATC